AGCCGCCACGGACCGCGCCGTCGCCTACCCATCCATGCACGTGAGCCATCACGTCGACGAGGCCACGGACGTACGTCGCTTGTCGAGCGTGCCAAAGAAGAGGATGTCATGATGCGGCTGCGGCGTGTGCAGGAAGGCTCCGGCCGACAGCGGCGACGACTCGGCGACCATCTTGCAACGGCGACAGAAATCTCGGGATGACGGGGCCGCCGGATACGCTCCGGAAGCTTCGCCGCATGTCGCACCGATCCGTTCACGCTACGCACATGGTCGGACCTTGATGACCATCTCCATGGCCCACACGCCATGCCATACCTCGCATCCAAAGCAAGAAGGCCGCAAGGCCACCGCTGAACGATGGTCTTTCTGTCAGGGCGAGCATGCTGCTTATGAGGCGCAGCCAAAGGATATAAGAAAGGTTCTTATACCCCTTGGATGTATGTAGCATACCGGTACTGGGGCGCGGCCGATCGCTGCCAACGCAGCCTCCTCGCAGGTGGCTCGGAACGCCTGCAGCGTGGGGTCGCGTCGTCCAGAGCACGAGGAGAGATGATAGAGTAGTGTGTTGATCTAGTAATTAGTTGGCCTTCTTGGCTTTCTTGGCCTTCTTGGCCTTGGGTTCCGTCGTCTCGGAGACGACCTTCTTGGCTGCCTTCTTGTCCTTCTTCTGCTTCTTGTCCTTCTTCGTGGACGATGTCTCGTCGACGAGGTCCGAGAAGAGCTCCTTGACCTTGCGCTTGCGCTCTAAACAAGAGTTGTGTGCGCGTCGATATTTCAGCTCCAAATACCATAAGTCGACCGCCACTTTTCCTCGTTCGTCTTGAACTCGTGCACGTTGCAGTTGGTGAGGACCATGGACGCGAAATGGTTGCCGACGAGCTTGGCGTCCATGAACGACAGCTCTTCCGCGATCATCGTCTGCAAAGTATCAATATTGTATCAAGTACGAAATCAAGAAGCGAGTTGTTTACCTTGTACTCGAGCGACATGGTGTTGAAGCACTTGATGACCGAGAAGGCGCCGTTGCGGTCCATCGCGAGCGTGCCAAACTGGCCCTTGAACTTGTTGAAGAGCTCGATTTTGGCCTCGTCGTTCTCGCTGTTCCAGATGGGCTCCTACCAATGAACCGGTTCAGAGTCGAGTTGCAGATCGATACTGCAACTTACCACGAGGCAGCGGCTGCCGACCGAGTCCTTGGAGAGCGCGACAAGCTGCAGCGCATTCAAGCCGAGGATGCTCTTGACAAGCGGCGCCGTGATGCTCGCGGGGAACTGCAACAGCGTCTCGACGATGCGCGCGCCGGCCACGTTGAGCGAGAGCTTGGCATTCTACGCTCCGTGAGCCTCTCTTTTCCCTCGCAGGTGCCAGGACATACCTGCGAGTTGGAGAGTTCGAGCGCGATCAGTGCCGGCACCACGTCCTTCTGCACCGCCGCGGGCTTCTTGCTCTCCTGCTTGGCGACTGCGGCCGTGAGCGAGTTGAAGAAGCGCTCGAAGTGGAGCTTGAAGCGCACGCAGCACTCGGCGAGACGCCAGATGACACCCGGGCGGTGCATCGAGAGCAGCGTCCAGAGCGCGTCCTTCATTTCGTCGAGGACAATGTCGGCGTACGCCGCATTCGGCACATGCGAGATGAAGTTCTGCACCACATAGTTGGAGATCGCGTGCTCGGAGAACTCGAGCAGCCGGCTCTGCATGCAGCGGTCAAACACGCTCGTCCAGAGGGCTTCGGACGCTGTTTGGCACAGCTACAATAGCAATGTATCGAGTGAGCCATTGCAACCAAGACGTCGACTACCGCTTCGAGA